AGGATGCTAGCCGCTCTTGAGGGAAGGTTGCTAGTGGGAGACGTCGTTCGTGGAAAAATAGGTCTCTCCTGTCTTCCTGTAACTGGGACAAAGACCTGTGTATCTGTTGAGGGACTTTAGGTAATTAGATATTAGTGTTTATAACGGTCCTCGGGCTAGCCGATCACGTACTGCGGAGACGCATCGGCATCTGGTAAACATCCTGCCCGGAGAATAGGATCGGCGTGTGGCGAGCTACGGGACAGAAACCATTGGAATGTTTACTGCCACGGGTTGCTACAAATCTTTCTTTTAAGGAGAGCTATAGGATTACTCAATGCTTTTGTTAGATGAAGAGTTCGTCCCGTTGACCGCGGCCACGTTCTGCGGCTAATTATCGCCTTGAGCCCAAGCTCATTGTCACAAGTCTCAAACAAATACAATTGGGTAGAGTGACGGCAAATCGTTTAATTACAGCTGTAGATTTTAATTACAATGTTTTTATGGATTTACCCGAGGTTTCAGAGGGAAGGCACCGGTGTCCTCTTATCTCCGACAAATATATATGAATTATATATACAAAAAAAGCTTGTCACCAATTTAAGATCCAATCGTCAGTGATTTTATGCAATTAGAAATTGAAATAGATTATATATTAGAAGTATTTTTAATTTTGCCCCACGTTGCAAAAGGTTGAAATATATTTAATACATTGTTTAGTTACAAAATCGGTAATCTAACTTTCGTTGCATGCATTTCTAAATAAAATACAAATAAAATAGAAATTGTTTCATGCTTTTTAGTGTTCTTCGAAGTCCGTAATATTTTCTTGGTAAAAAATTTTTTATTTCAAATTTCTTAGTGAAATGATCGATATTACAGGGCCAGCGTAACATGATTTTTATTGTTACAAGGTTCCATTCCAATAGATAATCCAAATCGAAGTAATAGATGAACATAGATAAAAAGTTATTTTAAGCAAAAAAAAGAAACGGATTTTTGCAAAAAAAAGAGAATAATTCACGATGACAAAATCGGGAAAATTAATCTAACTGGACCAACGAAATAAGATGCCGTACAAGATGGGAAAAGAATCATCCCAATTGATCGCGCCGTTTCGAAGAAGTCAGCAAACGTACATAAAAAAGAAAGAAGAAAAGTATACATGCCAAACTTAGATACCTTTCTTCTTTTCCGAGATCTGTATAAAAAGAATTCGTACACTGGCCATAAAAAACTTTTAGATGTATATGGTATATGTATATGGTTGTATATGTGATTCTATTGAAAAAATTTGAACCCAGTCTGAAAATGTATATAGAAATTACAAGACATTTCCTATGAACTTATACGTATTTAGTAAAAAATTGGTATACATTATGAATCGTCATCTGAAGCCTATAATAAATATTAAAGACCGTGTCACTAAATACTGAGATTTATTAACATTGTGAATTGTTGTCTATTTGAATACTTTTGTCATCTCTCTGAAACATGTATATACTTATATTAAACATAACCTGTAACTTCTGCGTACATTTTTATAGTCATTTAAAATTTTATCAATACAATTATGATAGTTAGGTACAATATTAATGAAATTTCAAAATGTTTCGTATAACATACGTAATGCTACGTAAAAAAAAAGTCGCTAAGTGTTTATTTGTTCCCTCTAAGTCTTTTTAACACTTGTCATAGACAAATATGAAAATATGTTTCCTATTTCTGGTCTACTTCATAAAAGGTTTTTATTTCATGTACTCGCATATATCATTATAAATAGCCTTGACAACGATCATTAGCAGCAAAATTCATAAAAACATTAAAATTAATATACAATTCAGTGGAAAAATAAGAAAAATCATTTTTTGTATATTTTGTGGTAGTTTCTGATACCAAAGACACTTTCTAAATTCCGTCGAAAAAATAAATAAATAATTAAGCACACTATTCAGTTATTTTATGTGATTTACAAATCTTTTGTATAAGTTTCTTTATGTTTATTATATATTTCTTTGCTGTTTCAGAGAAACATAGAAGTAGATCGTCAGTGTGGAGGAAAGAAATCGATCTGAAGAATATGACACTCTGTATGTCGACAAGTATCAGGATG